AGCTTCATAGCTAACTGGATTCTTCCTCCAGTATAAATATTCTATACTCTGGTGGTTCTTTCGGTAAAAGTCACGTAGGTAGAAAAAATAAAAGATCACGACGTTTCGATCGCAACACAAGCAATCGTCATCAGGTGAAAAAAAGAGGGGGCATCTGCTGAGGCAGGCTGTTTTTAAAGGTTTAGAGATGGGCCGGGCAGCTAATGCTAATGTAGGAGCGAGTAGGAGAGATAAATTTGCTTGGAACTGAAATTTGCTTACATTTACAAGCAAATTTCTCTCTCCTACTCGCTCTCCCCTGCTCGCTCCTACATTAACATTAGCTGCCCCGCCCATCTCTAAACCTTTATAAACAGCCTGCCCCAGCAGATTCCCCCCTCTTTTTCACCTGAAGACGGTTGCTTGTATTTTGATTTAAAGCTTTCGTGACTGCAGGGATTCATCTTCTTGGTTCTTTCGGTAAAGTCACGTAGAAGGGAAGTAATAAAATAATAAGGTTTTCACCTGAGGACGGCTGCTTGTGTTGTGGCCGAAACGTCGTGAGAATAATTTTATTATGATTTCTTTTTATTATTTTATTACTTCCCTTCTACGTGACTTTACCGAAAGAACCAAGAAGCCGGTTGCTTGTGTTGCGATCGAAACGTCGTGATCTATTATTCTTTTTACCTACGTGACTTTACCGAAAGAGCCAAAGAGTATGGATTGCTGCAGTCACAAAAGCTTCAAATCTCGATGTAAATATTCAGATTCTGAGTTCCCAGCACTTACTCTGCAGGGCTGCAAACAGGAGATGATGAGCATCGATTCCTCAATGCTACTTTGATCCGGAAAGTACTTTAGCCACTTTGCCATTTGAGATGGCGATATCTCTATGGATGCCCCAAATACGTTCATCTGTTGCTGTAGAATGCGGTGTCACTGGTGAGGGCGGTGAGCGTTTGACCTTTTGAAATGACCCGAATGCATTATATTACATTGCATGGAGTCCGCACGCACTGTGTTCATGTTGAACTTCTTTTGCACCGTAAAAGTAGCCAACCGTACTCATCGGAGGCGCGGGGGAAGGACAACGAACTAAGAAGTGATCTACAAATATCACTTCTTAGCAAAGATCACTTCTTAGCAGGAGAGAATTTCATCAAAAGATCGTCATGAAGTCAACAGTAATGAAATCCAAAGGGTATGGATTTCTGCAGTCACGAAAGCTTCAAATCAAGATTCAACAGTAATTGTCTTATGGGTAGATTTGCCCCTCTCATCCACCCTGTCAGAGGAATGTTGAATGTCCACCACTGGCTCTGGAGGGCTGCACATCAGCGATGAGCACCGTTGCCTCCTCAATCCCCATTCTAGTGGGAGAAATCACTCTGTGACCTGGCCGTACCTGCAGAATTGTTTTGGCTGTGCGGTGCTAGGGGTGGACTGTGGAGTTGGGGATGGGGCTGGTGGGCGCTGAGAGACGAACAGTGTTTCCTCCAGAGCGTGACATGTTTGCCATGCTGCTGCTGCTGCTGTTCTCAGAGATTTACTTGAGGGCCATCCATTTAGTAGGTACGCAGAAATCTGTCAAAACTTGACCCCTCCCTGTACGCACGCGGACTTTTTACACCACCTCCTCCCCCACCACCTGCGTACGTACGCTTGACGCACCGCCCCCCCCCCCCCCGAAACCTATAGAACAGCCGATATTTAATCCACGCAGAAACGATCAAGGATGAATAATATTAACGTGTTTAAGCAAACAGTCCACCGCCGGACTAACTAATTTGAAGGCGAATGTAGTAGACAAATTATTATCGAGGCCTCACCCCTCTCCCGTTTCCTATGCGTACGTACACTGTCAATAGACCCCCCTATACGCAAGCTACGCGTTTGGGTTACCCCCCACCCCCCCTCCATGCGTACGTACTAAATTGATGGCCCCTAAAGAGGCGCACAGTCCGAGCTCGCATGTAAACTCGACTGCTGTCTAGTGCTGAATCGGCAGTCTCCGATCAGAGATAACTCATTTATTGACGCTAACGCCAGACCATTTTTTTACTGGTAGGAACCTCCTGGTTACACCAGCCCACAGGGGATTATTGTGTCCGTCGTGCAGGGATGGGCTGGGTGGGGAGGGAGGGACTGGGTTGCGAGGGGCTGGGTGGGGAGGGTGAGGAGGGGCTGGGTGGGGAGGGTGGGGAGGGGCTGGGCTGGGTGAGGAGGGTGGGGCTGGGTGGGGAGGGTGGCGAGGGGCTGGGTGGAGAGGGTGGGGCTGGGTGGGGGGTGGAAGGGGTGGGGCTGGGAGGGGAGGGGCTGGTCACCCCGTGGTGCCCTTATAAAACTCAACGTTTAACCTACTCACGCCGGCTTGTGCCCGCCCTCACAGTCGGGCATATTTGCGGAATACACCACGCCGCCGTTGACCCTGGCCATTGACCGAGCAACCCAACGTGTTCCTACCAGCTCCCTCCGCAGGAATGTGTTATGAGAACCAAAAAAACCATGTGGTTTTCTTTGACCATGAATTGTAACTATAATAAAAACACTGCAAGGAATGGTAATCGTAATAACGCCACTGCAGTGGCCTTTATTTACTGGAGAAAGAAAAGCCTCGCTTCAGTCTCGAGACGTGCTTTTCAGCAGAGTCCCCTGGCATTTGGCACTTTTTGCCAAATTCCATCATTGCGTATTTTGCATTCTGTGAGGAAGCTAGATTTCTCCGCTTCCCCCCCCCCCTGCACATTTAGAAGCAACACGCGTTCCCAGTACCGTACAGTGCTGTATTTGTCTGCGATAAATGCCCACAGGATGATAAGCCACTTCGGTGAGCTGTAATTTGTAATGCCCAGGTCGCTCCTGAAAAATAGCTTACATAATAGGCTCAGCGGGCCGTACACCAGATAAAATGAAAACAGTAATAGTCGCATTCCTGTCAACCCATACGGTTTACCCGTATTCTTGTACGGGGAAATTGAGTTTTCAGGTCCATTCCGCGTACATCCGTTTAAATACAGATTTTAAAACATGTATTTGTGTTTCTCCCTTGTGACGGGACTTTGCAGAAGATTTAAAAGGGCACGGGGTGACCAAAAAGGTCTGAATTGGTCTGTAATAAGGTAGCCACTGATAAGGGGTTGTTGACAGGTATGTAGTCGTCGCCGTCATCATCATCATCCTCCTCCTCCACCTCATCCATCCTCTCGCCCGCACGATGATCACCAAACACACCGCGGAATCAGCCCCCCACTCTCCCCCACCACTACCCCCCCACCACTACCGCCCTTCCACCCCCCTCACCACTACCCTCCCACCACTACCTCCCCTCCACTACCCCCCACCACTACCCTCCCACCACTACCTCCCCTCCACCCCCCCACCACTACCCTCCCCCCCACCACTACCTCCCCTCCACCCCCCCACCACTACCCTCCCCCCCACCACTACCCTCCCACCACTACCTCCCCTCCACTACCCCCCACCACTACCCTCCCACCACCCTCCCACCACTACCTCCCCTCCACTACCTCCCTCCCACCACCCTCCCACCACTACCTCCCCTCCACCCCCCCACCACTACCCTCCCCCCCACCACTACCCTCCCACCACTACCTCCCCTCCACCCCCCCCACCACTACCCTCCCCCCACCACTACCCTCCCACCACTACCCCCCACCACTACCCTCCCACCACTACCTCCCCTCCACCCCCCCCACCACTACCCTCCTCCCCACCACTACCCTCCCACCACTACCTCTCCTCCACTACCCCCCTCACCACTACCCTCCCCACCACTACCCTCCCACCACCCTCCCACCACTACCTCCCCTCCACCCCCCACCAGTACCCTCCCACCACTACCTCCCCTCCACTACCCTCCCACCACCCCCCCCCCACTACCTCCCCTCCACCCCCCCCACCACTACCCTCCCCCCCACCACTACCCTCCCACCACTACCCCCCCACTACCCTCCACCACTACCTCCCCTCCACTACCCCCCCACCACCCTCCCACCACTACCTCCCCTCCACCCCCCCACCAGTACCCTCCCACCACTACTCCCCCCACTACCTCCCCTCCACTACCCCCCCCCACTACCTCCCCTCCACCCCCCCCCCCCACCACTACCCTCCCCCACCACTACCCTCCCACCACTACCCCCCCACTACCCTCCACCACTACCTCCCCTCCACCCACCCACCACTACCCTCCCACCACTACCCCCCCCCACTACCTCCCCTCCACTACCCTCCCCCCACTACCCCCCTCCACCACTACCCTCCCCCCACTACTCCCCCCACCACCAGCCAGGAATGCAGAGGAAGCCCCCCACCCTGCCGGCGTTTGGCGGCTGCGGCACCACAGCCACCGATCGCCGCGCTGTGATTCGTCGACCGAGTGGGGGTGGGGTGGGGGGGGGCTTGGGTGGGGGGGGCTTCTGTGGGCTCGGGCGGTCGACTGAGCGAGCTCGACCCGAGGGGGTGGGGGGGAGGGGTTGGGGGGGTGGGGGGAGGGGTTTGGGGGGGTGTGGGGTTGGGGGGGGAGGGGTTGGGGGGGAGTGACGGTGGCTGCCTTTGCCGTGACGCCCTCGCTCATATTTCATGCAAAAAGCCACCACCGCCACCAGCACCATCACTGCCGTCGGAAGACATTTTTTGTTACTCCTCCCCTCATCCTGGGTCCTCCCACTCCGCCTGCCTCGCTTCAGCCACCGCTGAACACCACACACACACACACCCACCCCGACCAAGCTTGCGCTGTGAATTAAAGCTTTAACTCGTCCGGCGTCCGCTTTGCTCTTCAAACAAATCCCGCCCGTTGAATACGGACGATTCTAATAATTTTGTCATTTGTTTCGTGATTATTTTTTTCGACTTTAAAAATATTTCATAGCTCAGGCTCCAGGCCACCGCCCTCGCCACCACCACCACCACCCACCTACCTACCTACCACCCAACCAACCAAGCCAGCGACCCACAACCCACAACGTAATCTCTCCACCTTCAAATCTGGCTCTCGTTCCTTAAGTTTCGTTCGCGCGCGCGTGCGTGCGTGTGTGGAAGGAGGAGAAAGGAAGGAAGGAAAGGAAGGAAGGAAGGGAAGGAAGGAAGGGCAGGGTAAAGGAGAGACAGAAAATGGCTGCAGATTTGGCCCTGGCTGGAATTCGTCTTCAGTCATCACCCAGAGAATTGTCTCCCGCGAGAGTCGCCGTAGACTGCTGCACAGGTAGGGCCCTCTTTGAACGTCGCACAATCATTACACCACCCCCCTCTACCCCACCCTCCTTCCCTCCTAGGTATTTATCATTATTTATAATAATAATACTTTAATTTTACATAGCGTCATTAAATGCCGGCAAGCATCCCCCTACAACGCTGGACTTTTAATATGTAAATGGATCGAATTCTTTATTTGTCATCTCTAAATCGTCACCGTCACTACCACCAAACCACTCGCTCACGTCTGGCATGATTTCGCGTTCGCTCGTCGTACACTACGGTACCTTGGTCTCTTCTTCCGTGGTCTTATTGCGTAAAATACAATTGATTAAATTGTCAACACACCGGTACAGTACTGGAGTAAATGTCACATCGTGTTGTATTAATTATACGTGGATTGTGTGACCTGCACAAGACAGTGTTTGCCTTTTAGAATTGTACTTACGCTATGTCATTGATTTAGCAACTGGATTACTTTGTTATCATTAATGGTTATTAATTGCATGCGTGCATGTTAATTGATTAATAGTAGCGCGTTATCGAGGGCGTTGAGATTTTGCAAGCGGTTAACAATTTTGCAATAACATTTTAAAAAATTGCAATGCAAAAGCACATCTTTGTTTTTAAAATGTAGTTTCCTCGGGCATTGTGGTGTTAAGTCCAGTACATTTTTACAAACCTTAACCCTGGCCTCTGTTTATGTGCTATGAAGAACAATTGCTTAAAATGTCGCCTATCATTTTAAGTTTTTTTTTTTAAATTTAAAGACCGCAGAGCTATTGACGAAATAGTTGAGTGGTTATTGTTTTGTATGCGGTAGTAATTCGTGACAGCTTGGGCTGTGATGATGTTGATTGATGGCTATGCTACGGAACGTGTTTGTGTAGAATTACCATTAACGCGTGCGGTAATACACTTCAACTCCAACACTATCAATACATTAACTTCCTTCAAATTAAAAACATAGCCGACATTTCAGGCAACGGACCTCTTCCTCGTTAATGCCGCAGTGTTATTAAACGAATGTGTCGAGTTTGTTACCGTTGTTAATTGTGCTTTGCACCACCACACCACCACCACACAATTTCCCTATAAATAATCAATTTTAAATCAGAGATTTTGCAGCGTTCATTGGGTAGAAGACGCTTTTAATCGCGTTGGAGCCGATAACTAAGCCAGTGCACGCTAATCATCTGCTTCTTGTTAGAGACACACACACACACAGTGGTTGTGTTAACGTCAACGAGCAACTGGCATGAAGGTACAGTACACACAGTGGCGCTGTACAACATTGAATGTCTTCACAGCAGCGGATTTGCGCTCACACTACATCCTGTTACGAATCACCCCGCGGTTATATTGAGCCTGGTTTGTGTAACGGGTGTGTCCCCCCCCCGTCCGTCCGTCGGTCAACTTGTGAATGTCATCAGCCCGGCTTGTGTGGTCAGTGTCTCCGATGTGTGTCCGTAGCTTTCAATGGTGAATGCGTCTTCTTCTTTACACGGTTGCACAACACGGACAAAGGTCGGATTGAATGCCGAGTGCACGCCGTGTCCTGTCCGTGGGGTGGGTTTGTTTGACCGGTCAATGCAAGTCGGTGAACGGGGTTTTTATTTGGGTGGCCAGGAACAATTCGGATATCTTCCATGATGTCAGCACGTGGCTGTGAATTTAACTCGTGTAGCAGTGTGGTTAATACTGCACCGAAAACATAGTTTTTCCCGTGTAGCTTTAACAGAATGTTGGGGCAAGTGCTGTTAGCGAGCACCTATGAAGGCCGGCACGGCACACGAGGGAGTGGGTGGCCAGCACCACGCCCGGCCGCCTTTGTCTCCCCAGTGGCGATGCTTAAACAGCGCACCAGGTGCTCATTTGAGGCTGAGTCGACCTAGAGGAGGCCCAAGACCGGTTCAGATAATCGTCACTGGCGTTGGCCGTGAGCTGGAATCGAACTCGTGTCGCCGGGTTCGTAGTGGAGTGTTGCTAATTGTCACACTACCGCTGCCCAAGACACACAAACACACACAGACACACACTTGCGTAATGTGGAAATCTCCAAAACAGGGCTGTATTTGATTTTGGAAAAAAGAAAAAACTCGCGTAAGACATAACGACGACAACAACATATTCTTGGTTCTTTCGGTACAGTCACGTAGAAGGGAAATTACGAAATAAAAAAAATAAAAACAATAAAATTATCACGACGTTTCGGCCACAACGCAAGCAGCCGTCCTCAGGTGACTTTATCGAAAGAAGCTTGTGCTGCCTCCGAAACGTCGTGATTTTTATTTTATATTTATTTTACTTTTATTAATTTTTAATTTTTCACCTACGTGACTTTACTGAAAAAACCTAAGAATATGAATCCTTGCACTCACGAAAGCTTCAAATCTAGAATTTACCGAAAGAACCAAGAATATGAATCCCTGCAGTCACGAAAGCTTTAAATCGAGACTACAACAACGTTACGTTTTATACTTTTAAGTGGCGTAATCAGAAGACGGAAGGATTTATTTTAGCTGAAAATGCGTGTTTCTCCCCCACAACACAAACCAGTGGTGGATTATAACTCCATTTCGCTGCACGTTTTGGGTGCTCACCCCACACACAGACACACGTGGCTGTGTGCGGATGGTGCAGATAATTGGGGGGGGGGGGTGTTGCTACGATGTGGCGGTGGGGTTAGGGGCCATCCATTGAGTAAGTACGCATGGACGGTGCAGAGGAAGGGGGGTTAACCCAAATGCGTGGCTTGCGTATGGGGGTGGAGGTCTACTGAAAATGTACGCATAGGAAACGGGGCCTTCCAATGAGTTAGTCCGGCGGTGGACTATCTGTTTGCTTAAACACGTTGATATTATTAATCCTTGATCGTTTCTGCGTGGATTAAATATCGGCCGTTCTATAGGATTCGGGGGTTGGGGTGCATCACAAGCGTACGGACGCAGGCAGGTGGGTGGCAGGGTGATGTAAAAAGTCCGCGTGCGTACAGGGAGAGGGGGGGGGGGTAAGGGTCAAGTTTTGACAGATTGTTGCGTACCTACTAAATGGATGGCCCCCTTATCCTTATCAGTCGTGCCGTTGCTGTTGTGCTCCATCATCAACCGCGTGGAAGGCCGAGTTTATAATACAACACGAGAGGCGAGATGAAACGGTTCGGGGAGACGGAGCAGTTAACGGAAGAGGGAGAAAGGGGGAGGAACAAAAATCTAACTAGGTTACTTTGGAATTATTGTCCTAAATGGTTTATAGGAAATCGATGCAGACCCAAAGGGTAGTTCAATTTGTCTTTTTAAAAATGGTTATCGTTGTGAGGCCCATTGTGCGGAGCGGAAGAGAGCACGGGCTCTGTAATGTTTAGCTGTAGCCCTTATGAAATGATTTTTAATTGAGACGCGTTTCCTCTGCCAGAGAGCCCCCCTGAACATTATTCTGTGATTTTGGCGGAGAGGCATCGTGACAGGTTTGCTGTGGGGCTCAGCTCTCCTTCGTGGGTTGTACGGCTGATTTGACCACAACTACGTTCGCAATTCGTTGAATCCCAAAAGCGTGTAATAATAAAAATTAACCCGTAAAAACAAAGTTTTTCACTATAAATCCTTTATATGCGTGGCGGCTAGAGTCCTCTCGTCCTCTGGCTTGAGATGGTTGCCACCTATGGGTCAGATGATTGCCTGCCACCATTAAGCAATTGGTAATTAAATATAATACATTTTTTCCTAAAAAGTGTACAATTTTGGGAAAATAAATTGTCACGCACAACGAGTCTGTGTGCAAAATGTCAGCTCGATTGGATCACGGGAAGTGGGTTAAAACACGACCGAAAGATTTGCACGGTCGTAAGCGCGCAAGCAAGCAAGCAAGTGAACTTAATATAAAGGATTTAAAAAGAAGAGTAATGTTGGCAGACTTTACTTGCAGATGGCACGCTGTCACAAGAGGTGCCGGTGTTCACGATGAGCTCTTGAAGATGCTCTAGCGATATATTTTACTGGTAGGAACCTCCTGGTTACACCAGCCCACAGGGGATTATTGTGTCCGTCCGTCAGTCCGTCGTGCAGGGAGGGGCTGGGTGGGAAGGGGATGGGTGGGGAGGAGAGGGTGGGGAGGGTGGGGCTGGGTGGGGAGGGGCTGGGTGGGGAGGGTGGGGAGGGGCTGGGTGGGGAGGGTGGGGAGGGGCTGGGTGGGGAGGGTGGAGAGGAGCTGGGTGGGGAGGGTGGGGCTGGGTGGGGGGTGGGAGGGGTGGGGCTGGGTGGGGCTGGGTGGGGAGGGGCTGGGTGGGGGGGGTGGGGCTTGGTGGGGAGGGTGGGGCTGGGTAGGGAGGGTGGGGCTGGGTGGGGGGTGGGAGGGGTTGGGCTGGGTGGTGAGGGGCTGGTCACCTCGTGGTGCCCTTATAAAACTCAACGTTTAACCTACTCACGCCGGCTTGTGCCCGCCTTCACAGTCGGACATAGTTGCGGAATACACCACGCCGCCGTTGACCCTGGCCATTGACCGAGCAACCCAACGTGTTCCTACCAGCTCCCTCCGCAGGAATGTGTTTTACTTGGATTCTCATGCGTCCAAAAACGCAACCGCATCTCAAGACCTCGCGCTAGACAGGGGGGAGGGGTGGTGCATGTTAATCAGACAGGAAGAGGTGTACACGTGATTAATTGTGTGTGTATATAATATAGACATGGACATAGTGGTGAGTGCTGTGCGCGAAGAACCCTGGGACCCGAGTTCTATTCCCGCTCATGGCCAAGACCAGTGACGATAATATGAACTGGTCCTCGGCCTCCCCTAGGTTGACTTAGCCTCAAATAAGTACTTGGTAAAGTGTGTAAACATTAGCACTAGGGAGACAAGGGGCGGCCTGGCATATTGCTATTGACCCACCCCCTCGTGTGCCGTTCTGGCCGTCATATGTGCTCGCTTACATCACTGGCCCCAACAGTGTTAAGGCTATACAGGGCATCTTTGATATATATAGTCTTGAGAAGAGACACTCAGTGAATCAGAGGA